CTTAAAGTGCTGATTTTTCTTACTTTTCAAAACCGGTAGTATTCTTAAGTGTGGCGACCGATTATGACGAGATATCTCCACTTTGACTAATTCCGACTTTATTTTTGGGGCATTAAAACTTTATGGCGCTATCTGCATTTTTGCATTTTTTTTAATGCAGTATTTACGGGTTTCCAACTGTTCTGTAGCCATCTGACTGCCCGGGTAAAAGAAGGAAATTGATCATTTATTGAAATAGTTATGAGAATTTGAAATAAGAGTTACTATTTTACTTCATTTTTTCCTACTTGTATTTTTCAAGTGCCTATTTTTAGTGAGGGGTTTCCATTTTTTTTTATCACTAAGGTCGCCAAAATGAATGCTGAGGGTAGTAAGTGATCACTAAGGTGAGAAAAAAATTTTAAAAGCACTAAACTTAAGAGTTTTGGTCTTTTTCTCATGGTCTAAAGTGCCCAGAAACCAAATATTTATGGATGCTTAATAAACAGACCAGTTTTAAACATTTTTAAGAGAGTATTCTCTAGGAAAGTCTCTTTGAAATTTGCCTGTATGACGAATGGAGGAGTTTTAGTAAGGACAACTGTAAAATAAGTTTTTTTCCTGCAGTCGTTTTCCTCTAAGAACATCTTGTTATTAAACGAGATAGTGACATCCAGTAAGGGTTGAATTCTCCTCGTTCCTAATTTATATTAACTGTCTGCTTAAGGTATTGCATGGAACAAACGGGCGATGATAGAATCAGAAAATTTTGAAATACAAGCTGCATTTAAGATAACAGGTCAGGGTAGAGTTGGTGCTGATGGATTGGCTATTTGGTACACAGCTCAGCAAGGGACACTGGGGCCTGTGAGTTTTATTTTTTTATTACATTATCGTGAATATCAAAGTTTTTTTACTAGTAATTCTTTGTTTTTTCTTTTTCCATGCTGAATTTGTGTTGCTAGGCGTAATAATCGTTAGGTATTCGGAGCGAATGATTATTGGACCGGTATGGGACTTTTCTTCGACTCTTTTGATAATGATAATCAGAAGAATAATCCTTACGTAGCCCTTATGATGAATGACGGTACTAGATCATATGATCATCAAACTGATGGTGCGCAGCAAATGTTATCAGGTAGTTCTGTTCGGCTTTACGATTACCTTGAACGTCAGTACGAACTCATAAAAACTCCAAATATCTCTTACGTTATTTAGGTTGTCAAAAGGGCTTCCGCAACAAGCCTTTCCCAATACATGTTAAGGTTGAATACATAAAAAATGTTCTAACTGTGCTTATTTCGGATGGCATGCAAGCCGTACCGAGATATGAACTTTGCATTCGGGCAGAAAATATATTTCTGCCCAGAAACGGGTATTTCGGTATGTTTTTAACTGGCAGTTGCTAGTGTTTTATGAAATTCGCTTTTGACACTCACATAATATTCTATAGTTGTTGATACTGGAACTTACCTTGTTGACTAGGAGAATTATTATTGTTCACCGTAAATAAAACCTTGCTAGCTTCTGAAAAATTATATGATTTCTGTGGTTTGAGGGGTCTCTGCTGCCACTGGTGGGCTCGCTGACGACCACGACGTTATTGACTTTAGTGTATATTCATTATATCTTGAGCAACCGAGGGCTGAGAGTGAAGTAAAATTACCCAAAGAAGAAAAGGAGAAGTACGATGAAGAATTTGAGCGCCAAATGAAAGATTTTGAGAAAGAGCGTCAGAAGTAATTTTCTTTGCTGTATTCAACATATCTGGATTTTCTTTGAAGCGTTCCTGTGATCCCTACACATCTGTTAAAGGTACAAGGAACAGCACCCAGAAAAGGCTAAGGTTGAAGAAGAAGAAGATTTGTCGAAGTTTTATGAAGATGCGACACAGCGGGAATTAAGACTCATTTATGAAAGTCAGACCACTATTTACCAGCTAATGCAGCAAATGGAGCAAAAGTTGAGAGAAATTCAGTGAGTTTTTTGTACCTTCTATTCAGATCGTTGTAAATATTACTTAAAAGTTCATCATTCATTTCTGGTTTTTAACCTACAGCTCAGGCTGTTTTATTTATATGTTTTCAAAAATAAATATTGACTTGTCTGTTATTAAAAAAACAATTTTTTTTAGAACTCAACAGAACGCACATACTGCTATGCTTCAACAACAGCAGCAAGCAGGAGCAGTTGCACCGCCGCCACCAGGAGGTCAGCCTCCAGCTGTTTCAAGTGGTTTTACGTATCAGGAAAAGAATGAAGCTTTACAGGTTACAAATATAAAAGTTTAAAACGTTTGGGCTGTTAATTCTAACGAGCACTGGAAAGCTGTAAAATTTCAAAATTCCACTCTCTTCCATCGAATATTTTTCTCGAACATTCTTTCATCTCGTTCCAGACACTTCGAGATTTAACTTCAAGTTTGCGAGACATGAAAAACTATGTCAATGAGATATTTACGAGAACTTATAATATGGAGCAAAGGGCCGCTCAAGGTGTTGGTGGCGGTAGTCCTCAGCAAGACGCGGCTATTAAGCAATACTTAGAAAATATACAAAATGATGTTCGGCAAGTGCGAGCGAGTCAAATGGCTCAGGTGATTGTTTCTGACACATCTTGAACGGCTCAAAATATTTTACTTTTTGGGTAGCTTGTGTACATTTGACTTCCTTTCAGAGTGGTAGTAGCACGGCTGGTGGTGGCTGTCCAAATGTTGTTTGCCTCACATCCACATTCTTTTTGGTTATTATAGTATTACAAAGCAGTGCACTAATTGGAGTGCTATTGCTCAAGTGAGTCCCATTTTGCTGTTACGTACGCTGCCAAAAACACAGTTTCACTCAAGCATCTGTCCGCTAATGAAAATCATTGCACAGAACCCAATTAGTTTAAACAAAAGTCTCGACAACTGACTTTTAGAAAATCTAATGCCATATCCTAGTTCTCCTTCTGTTACAGAAAAAATATGATTCTCTTTGACTTATTGTAATACCAGGTTTTGTATTGGTTAATTTTAGGGGAAGGCAGGACAAAGCGAAGTTCTACTAATTAATACTTCGCATCCCGATGAGTGGTATTTGAAAACAGGTGCTGGGTCTTTCTTCACTATCTGCGGGCTTTTTTTTGGATGTCAGATCCAGAGTAACAAGTTTTGACTTCTTTGAATATTTTTTGGCTGACCATAATGTTCTGTTGTTGTTTTGATACGTTGTTTTGTTAAGTGGCTGAATCTAATTCGAAACATCAGAAAGGAAAAATGTTTTTCAAATTTATGAACGCAGTTCACTTACTTTTGTTTCGTGCTACCAGTTAAAGTGCGATAACAAGTTTTTTTAAATGGGAGACTTCCACAACACCCGTTACCAAACATACGCGCATCGTGCCTAATCTAAAACATAGTAACTAATTCGGCCTATTTCCTTACATTGAAGTTATAGCTGAGCTTCCTTGGACACACAAAAAATATTCATCTCACTGCATACGATTTAAAAACGAAGATAATGACAGTTGCTAATTATCCTGTTCACCAATTCTGCTTGTCTTAAACTTTACTGAACACAAATTTACAAGTCGTGGACAGGAATTCAGGCTCAAAATTGCCCACAGATAGAAATGGCTTCAAATACAGAAGCTATTGGCTTCCTTCCTGAAGTCCATCTCCAGAGTAATTTCTGCCGTTGGGAGAAACCAAAATTGTAAAAAATCAGTCAGGCAGAGGTTTTGAAGAAAAAAGAAAGACGAAATTAATCCCAATCCTCATCATCATCGCTTTCTGAGTCAGTTTCGCTGTCTGGATGACCCAAAACGTGTTCCATCCGTCTCCTAAGGATGGCTGCTACATCGTTCGCTTCAGCTGCTGCTTTTTCTTCTGCTGCTTGTTCTTTCCGTTGTACCTTAAGTCACATTTAAAGTAACACCAAATGGATAAGGAATAAAACGATAGAACGACCTTCCTATACATCAAATCTTTTATGAAGAAGTGAGCCCTATATCGCATAAACTTTAAAAATACTTCCAAAAATTTTAAAAAAAATTAGAAATTTTCCAAACCAGTAGCAAGCAGTTTTTCAGCTAAATTCCTTCGCCTCGTGAAAAGAGAGGTAACGGGACAAGACCTTTATTTAGATGTCTCGTGAAGTCATGTTTTTGTAGGCTTTGCACTAACTTTTTACATTAAATGGAAGCTCCAAAACCACCTCTATACATTCACAAAAAATAAGTCAACGGAAACTTTCCCACTAAGTGTTATAAACTTGCTTAAAGAAATACTAACCTGCTTCAACTTAATACCGGTCTGTATCTCGGCAAGTAAGGTAGAACGGGTGGTGTCCATGGGAGCCGGTTTCTCTGGTTGATTTTCTTCACTATTTGCGAAAGACGGTACTACAGCAGGAGGATTGGATGCCAATGGTCCAGGTGGAGGGGGAGGTGGGGGTGGAGGAGGTACAGCCGAACTCTCGGATGGTGGAACAAATTGCATAGCAGGAGGTGTCGGCATCTGGCAGACCAATGATGTATGCATCAGTGGCGGTGGTGGAGGAGGTAGCTCATCGTCTAGTAATGGGTCTTCCTTTATTTCTAATTGTGCCATCTGGCTTCCCAAACCTTTCGGTGACGGAATAGGAGGAGGTAAATTCTGAAAACTTGCCTCAATAAAGATAAAGAAAAGAAAATAGGACTAAATAGAAATTCGACAAAGAAAAAAAAAAAACAAACA